AAGACGCATGCGTCCACCCGAATACTCGACATTGCAAATATCTGGCGGACAAACCACTGAGAATGATTGGACAGCATTGCGTGAATGACAGCAACAGTTGCATGATCAAAATTATTTCTCTTCTTTTCAATCCCAGCTCGGCCCACCCAACGCCACCAACCCACCCCCTTTCTTACCTCTCATCGGTATTATCTTATGGTCCACAGATCCGTTAAAAACGCAGTTTCATTTCGATTCGAATGATTTTTGGTTCGAGCACTAACTAAATGACCTTGACCTTGACTGTATGAGTGTGTTTGTGATGAGCACTAAATCCGGTGAACAATGGAATGTGTCAATGATCGCATGACATGACACAGACGAGAAGTGATTTGTAGTCAAACCGTAGCCCACCACTACATATATCCCAGTCAATCTGTAACCTTGTCGTCAAAAAATACTTATTTGTTGTAATAAATGCGTGCATTGTCAGCCTTAGTCTAACTGTCGGTCAGCTCGATTATGACAAAGACAAAATGAGATTGGTCTCACCGTAAAACTAAAATAACTAACTGCATGTTATCATTGCTCTCAATCGAGGTGAAGTGGGTGTTCGTTGTCATCATCACCTGTTTTTGCGTGTTTCTGCATATATATACATATATACATACACACATTCCTACACATATCTATATGGATATTTCTGACCAGATGATACGCAACTATATATACATACACACTTACATTCCTACACATATCTATATGGATATTTCTGACCAGATGATACGCAACTCTGTGTTCAAACAGCAAGATATTGTTGCACGCTCATACTGCAAAAGGTTATGCAATACGTGATGTGAAGACTCGGACACTCGTTGATTTAACGGAATTGTATCCAAACACCTCTCCCTTATTTATTCTTCTTCTTCATTTTACAATTTTTCAAGCGGTCACAAGCGGTCAACGCCTTCATGCGCTAATAGTAAATCATTATTCACTTTTCGATTGCAAAGCTCACCATTTGGCACATTGTCTCGCGCAACAAAACCGGTTTCTCTCATCGCAATCGCACCAGATTATTTGAGCATTATGATTGATGCCTAAATCAAATATTTTATTGATGCATGTCTATTTTCGTGTCTCAGGTAACTCATTGTACTATCGATTGAATGACGATTTTCAGTTTAACTTCCTAGCAAGAGCCAATCTAACGTTCCTTTCAATTTACTCTTAGAAATTGTGAATTACATCTGTATCGATGGAACGTCATAACAGTTGTGACTCTTTTCATGAATGCAATCCATCACCGACTGGAAATAAGGAAGAAAAACATTTGATTTTGTCGGTTTTAGTTGACTCAATGAAGTTTTATTCATTTTAAGAAACGAAACTCATATCGAAATTAGAATCACATTGCAGCTCTAACTAAAAGGAACAGTGCCATAGTTTGCTTACAACTGACTTTTTCTATTTCCACCCCGAATGAACTTTGATCTGACAGACGATCTGCAATCGGAACTCGTCAGACACTATCTGATCGAGGTGGTCAACGCTCCAAATCGGGGCGTTCGTTTGAAGGGGTTTGCCAGTGAGCCTGTGTTTCCCAGTCTGGCCGCTCTGATAAATCAGCACACGATCGATCCACTTGCATTGCCCTGTCGTCTAATTCTACCCCCGATCCCCGCCCACCTACCTACCGCGAGCACCGCCACCCTGCCACCAATTGTGATCGGGACGACCACACCACTGCTACAAACACCCAACACTCAGACTTTGGCCGACCTTGGTAATCCGGCGGATAACGCAACTGTGACCAGTGCAGGAAGTGTTATCGGTGGTGGAGCTCCATCTGACGCCGGATCTGCCCAAGTGGACAATCTCAGTACTAGCGGTGCTGTTGTGACTTCCGTTAGTCCAGTAACTCGTGCAGATGGAGGTACGTCTACCCCAGCCAATAACGATGGTATACCCACGGCATCGTCACCGAACGTGCCATTCGTTTGTGTACTACATGAGAGTCCGACAGCAGTCGAAGGCCAGTTGAGTCAGGGTTTGAGTAAGTAGAGCCAGGCAGGTGACTAACTTCCTTCGTTGGCATGCTNTTGATCTTTGGTTGCCCCTCTCGATTCATCTGCGTGTTAGTCGGTATCTAACACCGTCATAAATTGATGAAAAAAGAGAGGTTCAACGATACGCAGAGTGAGTCCCCTCATCACCTTTTTGGTTATGGTCATTACAATTGATTGCAAGGATATTTTGGTGGATGAATTGTAACTGATCTCCTCACATAATCACTCCCCAAAACTTTCTCAGGAAAAACGTGTACCCTATTATCCCGAAAGCATGAATCCATCATGACCTTTCCGAATAAGGCTTACCATAAGCTTGCTTAACCATCAAACCCGCGCTCATAGAAGCCAATTCAGCCCGTAAAATATCCCGTAAATTTGTGTAAATGCGCCCTCAAACCTCAACACTCGATACAGACAATATTCATCTTTTTTCTCGCACACAGCTTTTCGGTGTTTAATGCTTGGTTCTGTGGATACCCCTCAATGGAACACAGAAATGTGTTTTGCCCGAGCAGTTGATCAACTGATTCCACTCACACTGTTAACCGCTGCCGATTGTGATCGTGGCATGAGTCGCGTGCGGTACACTGAGGTTCAGCTTCATGTCAGCTCGCATGATGGAATCACCATAATCGATTTACAGCGGCGTTTGTTCCTGCGACGTCACCTACCCAATCACGTGCTCATGTACTGCGGTATAGAGCCAAGGAAGAAAGAGTGAGTTTATCGTGTGGTACGGGGTGAAGTTTGTCGATCCATTGAGCGTTCATTATTTTGCTACTCATGAGTAGCACAAAAAGGAAAATGTAACAAGCGTGTTTTTTTGGTTTTCTGTTATTCTGCTAGATCGATGTCACAAGCAGTGATCTTTTTTATTAATTTTTATTCTGAATAAAAACAATCGCCCTTGTTTTTGCCAATACTCCCTAACAAAATTCAGGTTTTCTCATCCGGAACACAAGCTTCATGGAATTGTTCATCCCAAGTGAGTTTGTATACCGTGCCTTTTGTGCCTACTGGCCACTATATTTTCATTGAGGTTTAGGAATTTCCAAAGCGTTAGCATTTCTGTAGAGGATTTGTCAGATGACTAACTAAAATGCATAGTCTCGTGACACTATAGATAATGAGCTCAGGAGTGTGCGTTCAACTCTGTGATTGATGACCGGATTTGGACAAATGCCCGGATGGCGTTTGTTTACCTTCAGCGGTTTCTAACCGTTTTCAAGAAACTAGTGTACCTGGAGAACGAGGGGGAAACGACAGTTGTTATCCTGGGGGNGGGGGGGGGGGTGTAAGATCTTTTCGCTGTTCCGTTCAATTCGATGAACGTCCTTTTTCATTTCCATAGAACAAGATCTTCAAAACATCGCGTTGGATTAAACTACCGCTTTTTAGAAGCGTAGTAGTGTGAAACGTTTCTTTTGAAGAAGTTAAATTCAAAATTGATTGCGTTTAGAACAATCTTATATCTTGAAGACGGACTTCGATTAAATGGATTGTGTAGAAGTTAATCTACTCCGTGAAATGAAGGGGTTCGGTTTTAAATTCGCCATATGGACTGGGAATGTGAGAAATGGTTAAATCTTTTGTTTATTACATTCCTTAACCGACGATAATTTAACCATATCATCAGCACCCATAACCTGAGGTGAGTTTGTCTGGTGCGTCAAGGGTACGTACTGACATTAATTCCGCCACAGATACACTCAAGTTTGGTTGTTGAATAACTAGCTTCTTGGTAGTTGCTCGAAGCGGATTAGACTCGTTACGTGACCCTTACGGTTGGGACTGTTTTAGACCTGCAAGCAATCATGTTACGACACCTAAGACCAAAACGCCATAGATGCACGGAAGTTCGAGGGCAGAATATATAAAGGAAAAGATCCAGTTTACCTCTGTTCAGTTACGGAAGCTGAAAACGGGGTTTGAAGATTACCATCCACGAAATATGAAATCATTGGATCAAATGAACACTTTGTCCCTTGATCATTCCGGCTTACAATACTTTGATCCATAAATTTCTCCTCTGAATCTCAAGAGCGTCAGCTTGTTGATGGAAGTCTTTTGGATGACCGACAAAGAGCACTGGACAGCTGTTTTGTTCTGCTGGGACTCGTCAGCAGTGCGTACATTTTTGTTGTCCCTGTCAGAACTCGACCGGAGAAGATTTAGGTCGGGGCTTCAAACCTTTACTCCTGAGATACACAGACGACGATCAATAACTTGTGCAAATGACTCAATTAATTTAGATAGGGAATGTTTGAATTGGTCCTTTGGGTTTTTTTACAGTCCTGACAGGGACACAAAAGTACGCACTGCTGACGAGTCCCCAACAAGATGAAATGTCTGTCCTGTGCTCTTTGTCGGTCATCACAAGGATTTCCATCGCATTTACCTTGTGGGGAATTAAAGATCTCCCAAGGAATGAAACCCACGTCCAAGATCATCAACGATGCCTGATCCTGATGTCTATAAAATGAACCGAATGGTCTAATCCAAACATTATCCAAACAAAGTCAGCTAGTTGACTTAATTCACGCAACTCTCAGCCGAAACTCTTCTTCAGATATCCATCACACTAAAAATTTAGTTTTTCTCCAGGGGCAATTTCATCTAAATCTCACAGGCAGAATCAATCCTTTTGACGCCATTACCAGTGAATTGCCATTGCTGCAGGACAAAAACCGATCACTACAGTTGTTATAATTCCACAAGACGGTGCTCCGTCGAGGATAGCTGTCTTTTGGGGACTCCAGACGGGATATCACTAATTTGGTATACATAACACAGAAATCTTATCAGAAGCATATCATCATATTTCCTGGCCGCACGACGGGTAATGAACCTAGCAATCGATAGTTATTCTCTGAGTTACAGCAATTTGCCCTCGGTAGTCTTAATTTTTCATCGTTGAAAGTAATCACCAACTATGTTATCTACTACTCACAAGTGAATAGTATCTCTAGTATCTTAGTCTGAATGGATCTAACGGGACGTTTACATAGCGCAATATGAGGGTTTAGGAAATGACGTTACTTATCAATATTATTTGGCAACTTTTTCCTGAAAACAGTAATGAATATGAATGTTTTTCTCTATATACATGTACGATTACAAAGAACTATAGGCCTATAGGCCTCCAATATACTAGTCGTACCAATCTTTGTAGTGTCAGATCATCCCTCCGTCGTTTTTCCAAACTCTCCTAAAAGTTACTAGACACCCTTGGAAGTCCTGAAAAGGGTATGCTAATTATAACTGGTCTCTTTGTCGAGTGCTACTGACGGTATGGAATGAGGGAAATGGGGTATATGAGGAAAAATATTTCAAATTTGAATGGTTCTCTTTTTGTATAACCTGCCCGATAAAAAACTTGGTCTTCTACTATGCTTCTCCTAATCTCGGAAAGTTTACCGGTGCTAAACGGGGCACAAACCATAAACCAGTTAGTACTGAATTGAACTTTAACTGCTGCGTCACTCACACAGCAAAAAATCGCAAATGCTTACAACTTGTACACTGTACATTTCCCCCACCCTCAGGATTTTTGGCATTGTGGTGCGCAAGGGGATCAGCGAATGCACCACTCACGTGTTCACGGAATGTGATCCCATACACACGGCCGATTCGATTGTCCGACATATTCGATCCACTTACCCCCATATGAATGTACGGTAAACACGAACTCACTAAATTGTTTCACAGCCGGTCCTGTATTTCATCGGAATAGACACGTTCGTCTCTCACCCTCAACTCCACTACCCCAACCCCTGGCCTCTCGAATCACAATGAAACAAGAAAGCGGACCAGTGTGCTATTTGTCCAATTCTGAGTTATTTGGTTCCCGTTTGGATCTTCTGAGTCACAAAGAAGAAGACAGAAGATCGAGTTTCTTTATTGTTTTTTTTTCTTTTCAGATGGACATGTTACTTATCACTCGTATGGTGCGGTTTATGTGTGTATTGTTAGGCTTCGTTTGTCCCATGTGTTTTTTCTCTCTCCAACAAACCATGAGTTGTCCTGAACGGCTAGACATGTTACATCTCTTCTCATTGATCTGCATCTTTTTCGACCCTTTCAATTTTCGTTTTGATTCCCCGACCAACTGATACTGAACTAAACCCCCTTCAGGTACCGATTCGGTGTGTGTGTGACCACTAACCGCTTACTCATTTTTCCACTCCTACAATGCATACGCATATACAAATACATATGAAATGGTAAATTGTCGTTCGCCCCTCCCCCAATCAGCCCTTCTACCCAGTGCGTCTCTTACACGGCCGGTTTGATTCAACTATGTTCGGTAATCTACGACACGAATATGGTTCAAAATGAGTAATCTCATCTCCTTCTTCAGCGCAGTTCGTTGCTGGATGTAGGATGCTTGAAATGGGGTTTATTTTAGCTTTAGCAACAGAACTCTTCGGGATGCGTGAGTGCAGATAACTGAATCATTTACATCTTTATGCCATGTGCGTGTCTCCATTACTGTGAAATCCTTTGTTATTTGATCTTTGATTCTTTTCAACTAACCTGTTTCTTCTAACTTGGCTTTGCACAACTAATTTAAAAAAAATACTTTACTATGTTACATCTCCCCATTTGGTGAAGTCTGTTCTCCGTATTCCCTTGTTATTTCCCATTTGCTTTCTTTTGTTTTGTCTCCTCTTGCGACACTGTTCTTTGTGGTTCAGTTTTTATTGTTTGATTTTGCTCCTATTTTACAGCAACGTTAATTTTATCTCCTTTTACCTCCTGTCCTTTGCTTTCTGTCTATCCGTCTGTTTGCCTTTCTACCTTTGCTTGTGCATCACGTGATCATGCCCCAAAACACATTGTCTGCAAATTCCACAATGTGGCCATGATACCACTGACTACTATCACTACCAATAATAATAATGATGCCCAAACTCGTGCTTTTACCGCTCTCGTCACACTTCAACATGCTGTTGCTCTGAATCTGCTCCATAGCCTCACCGTACTCAATCATAAACTGTATCAACTACGATTCATCTGCCTCTGAACCGTCTCTCTCCTGCTCTTTCGTTCTCTCGCAACTTCTCCCATGTCCTTCACGGAAGACAGATGTATTTCACAGAACACAATACATGAACTGAATCTGTATTGACTCACCTTCTGTTCTGTTTGTACTGCATTATCATTATACCCACAAGCACCCGCTCGTTCATCTGCTTCTCTGTTCTTTTTATGACAAAACGGCATGTTGGCTTCAGTCCCTCGCTCTTAACAGCCCCACCCAGAAACCCCTTTTAAATCGTCCGCCATTCACTCATCGGATGGGCGGAGCACACGAGTGTGGGAGATACAGTGGCGTATGTGGTCTGCACATTCAACCGAAAAACGGGTCTGAAGACTCAGAACGGGGGGGCCTCCGACCATCAATTCATCCACGATTGGCTTATTCAGCTTCACAACCAAACCCATGAACAGTGCCGGATAGCCGATTTGGTTGAAATCGGGTTTGGTGAGGACATCCTGGAGAGTCTCAATCTGTTTGTGTATGTGAATGTGTGTGTCTGTTTCAGACAAAGAATGAACGGAAGAAAGATGTGTACAAATTGCATATCACCTTTCCCCTGTTCTTTTCTTCTTCCCGTTGGGGGTTAACGCAAACCGAAATATCGTTTGATATTTCAAGATATCCATAAATTTGTTGCTCTTAGATTGTCCAGAGCGAACGAATAAGACAGAGCGTGTCTGTTGTTGAACAAGATCAGGGGTTCTTCAAGACAAACAAAAGGTATAGTCAAAGGAACCTGAAATAATTTCTCGTATTAATGGTTAGTTCAAATGTCGGATTTGTTGTCTTATCTTCTTTCAGTTCGTGTTTACTACTAGACTCAATGGGTAGCTGGGTAATAAAGATACCAAACCAAATGACTTTTAAATTATACCATCATACCAACATCATCTGGGGGTACTGGAACTAAGCTTCCAGACTGAAGTTGCGCTGATGATGATTCCCAGCCCAGTGAAGAAAATTGTGACAGACAAGCAGTAATCTCGAAAAGCAAATCTGTATCGTCATCATCCTTTTCTCAGGCTACACATGCTTACCACTATTTCAACATGCCGGTATATAAGTGGGGTGTAAGAGGTATTTGATAGGACTTTTATCTGTGATCCGACCGAATGTTATGTTATGTTATTTTACATCTTCAGTTGGCATCAATTACTCAACTCTCATTTGTGATTCCAAGAAGTTGAAAAACGGACCAGAGACTACATTGTGATAAACTTTCCGACAGGTGGCTGAACTAGATTATGGGTGAACGAGGTCTAAAACCCTCGGGGAGGCGGTGAACTGTGGAGGAAACTCATAAGAATACAATAGAGCCCTCAGTTTCATCAACAGCTATCGATCAGGGAATGAGCTGCTGAGGTTCAACCGGAAACCATACCCGAATACATTACTATTTTGCGATCCGTAACAGCGTCTGTAAAAGTTATAAGAATATGCTCTGATAAAATTCTTGATAACATTGGGAGTGTGTAGTAAACCAATGCTCTGAGATAACGCATAATGGTTTCACAAAGATCATTAGGGAGGGAGTATTATGGAACATTCAATTGTTTTCATTCTTACTTCGTTTTATTGGATACACAATGATGTAATTTTCCGGAAGGGGGAAGCAGCCAATCTAAGGGCTGCCATGCAACAGACAAATGGGAAAAGTCAGGCGGTGGTGGTGGGATTCGAATACACGTCTTCTGGGGTGATAATTTGTTGACGTTACCACCGGGCCACCACCATCAAAACCTTACCGGTAAACGGAAAACACACTGAAAACCAACAATTTTCTCTTGAATGTGCTATTTAATCCGATCGACTTCTACTAATACGCAGATCGCTGCTTTCTTGTTCCCCTTCTGGTGTCTCGGAGTTGAGAAACTCCAATGGCTGATAGCGAGCGCGATTGCGATTATTGATTTACAACTTTTGCGGGTATCTCTTTCATCAAAATCTAGGGGAATTCTATGATTTTCATGAATCCGAATTATCCTCATCTAATGACTAATCTTAGTAACCCAAACTACGAAAACAGGTAGTAATAGTCATGACTTCTTTTCATATACTTATGATGTGGGTTTCTCGGCGATTACAATCTTTAGTGCTCGGTTATGGCTGGTTGACAAGGATTGAACCTGCTTTGGGATAGAAGCATCTTACATCTTTTTCCCATCAGTAGTAATAAATTAATGAATAAACTTGGTTCACGGTGAGGCATGCGTTATGACAAGGAAAAAAGATGAATAAAATATGGGAATATGGTGAATTGTTGGACATAACCAAAGAATATGAGAAACAGTTTGGAAACAAAGAATGAAAAATCTCCCTGTTATATCAGCCACCGATCGCATTACATTGTCAAAGTATGAGGTTGACCGAACTAACACTTCTCTGGGTTAATACGTTAATACACCGCCTACGCTTTGTACGCGCATGCTCTACCAGCTGAGCTGCGAGGCCACACCGATAGCACTGATCTTTTTCACATTCGAATTTACCCATCCAACTAACAGAGGCATGTGGCATCCACCAGGTAGCATGTAAGCTGACTGCCTCGACAGGTTTTCCTTAGAATTCACCGGACTCCACCGAATGAGCTTCTAAGACAAGGTTAATTGTTTAAATAGTTGTTTGTCTTAGAAAGAAAATTTCCAGCAGAAAACTTTCCCGTACTCTTTCTTTCTAGAAGTCTATGAGTTTTTGACTGTTCGGTTGAATTTCGGGAGAAATGATCTTCTCCAACCTTACGCACGTTTTGATACATATGTATAATCAATTTCCTACCAAGTCGCAGCCAACTTTTGGTAAGCGTAAATCAAACGTGTTGGTAATAACAAATGTCCTGACTACAGTACCACAAATCCACCCCCTGTATGTCTCCTGGTGCTATCTTACTTAGTCGTTTACCTATGTATGGCTTGGACATTGACCAACGAAGATAACATGCCACATTCAGCAAAGGATGTCTCACCGTCCTGATTGGACGGTCACTGATTAGACAACCCTGGTGAGAAAAGCACGCAGTGTAGTTTGTGGATGTGACAATGTGCGTATGCCTACCTATCAGAGTTAAGAAGAATGTGCTGGATAATTTGAATCAGCCTTCTGCCACTCAGAGCTCTGCGGCAAAATTGCTTGGTAATTCAAACATGAATGCTTACAGTGTTAGGGCAAATTAGATATTAGAAATTTTGTCTGCGCTGGTGCTTCTCGGGGAAAAGTGCCACCTCAAAGCGATTGGACAGTTCTAGGCAGTTACTGAAGTTACTTTACCATGATGAGTTCCCTAATAGTGAAGAGTATGGTTTGAAAAAAGGAAATCAAACTTGTTCAGAAATATTTCGCGATGACCAAAAGGTTTCCAATGGTTGGTTGCGACCTCGGTAGGACTGATGTGGTTTCCATTCCTAATCGAGTAACCTTTTCTCAGTTTGCATTGAAGGTTTGACGGCCTGAAGTGATTCAGTGAACGACGTTCGAGCGCGATTACCAGATTGATCTACGTAAATGCCTACGTTGACGCTTTCAGCGCAAATAAAACAGTGGTTGTCAGGAACACATTTGGTTTTGAAGAATCAACGGTTTCTGGAGCCACGAAATGCTAAGAAAAAGAGCTCTGCTGCTTTGTGAAAACATGAATGAAGGA